AGGAGGTGGGGTTGGGGTTGAGGAGGTTGGGGTTGAGGAAGGGGTTGGGTTGGGTTTGGGGGGGGATGGTGGTGGGGGACACCCCCCTCTGGGTGACATTGGTGGCTGATGGTGATGTCCCCTCTCCCCATTGGCAGCTGACCCCCGAGGAGGAGGAGAAGCGACGGGTGAGGAGGGAGAGGAACAAGTTGGCGGCGGCCAAATGCCGTAACCGGCGCCGGGAGCTGACGGACCGGCTGCAGGCGGTGAGTTCCGGGGGACAACCGGGGGTGGGGGGTGTCACCGGAGGGGTGGTCGGTGTCCCCAAGGGATGGGGGGTGTCACCAGGAAGGGTTGATGACTGTGAGGGCCATGGTTCTCTAGGGATGGTGGTGTCCCCCAAGGCCATGGGGACCTTGGAAGGGAAGAGTTGGTGCTTGTAGGGGCGTGAGGTGGGGACAGGGGTGTCCCCAAGATCAAGGGGGTCACCACAGTAGAAGGTGGAGATGATGGTGATGTCCATGGAGATGGGGACGGTTGGTGCCTGTAGACCCAGATTCCAGGGATTTGGGGACAGGGGTGTCCTCAAGATCAAGGGACAGGAGAAGATGATGTCCACCTTCTCCCCTAGGGATCTGGGGACACAAGATGGGGACAGTGGTGTCCCCATGATCAAGGGACAGAAGAAGGTGGAGTTGATGATGATGCCCATGGAGGTGGGGACAGCTGGTGCCTGCAGACCCCAATTCCAGGGAGCTGGGGACATGAGATGGGGACAGAGGTGTCCCCAAGATCAAGGGACAGGAGAAGGTGATGTCCACCTTCTCCCCAAGGGAGCTGGGGACACAAGATGGGGACAGTGGTGTCCCCATGATCAAGGGACAGGAGAAGGTGATGTCCACCTTCTCCCCAAGGGAGCTGGGGACACAAGATGGGGACAGTGGTGTCCCCCAAGATCAAGGGACAGGAGAAGGTGGAGGTGATGATGACGATGCCCATGGAGATGAGGACACTTGGTGCCTGTAGACCCCAATTCTAGGGCATCAGGGACAGGGGTGTCCCCAAGATCAAGGGACGCTGGAAGGGTGGGATGATGAAGCCCACGGAGCTGGGGACAGTTGTCACCTGTAGACCCCAATTCTAGGGGGCTGAGGACATGAGATGGGGACAGGGGTGTCCCCAAGATCAAGGGACAGAAGAAGGTGGAGATGTCCACCTTCTCCCCTAGGGAGCTGGGGACACAAGATGGGGACTGTGGTGTCCCCAAGATCAAGGGACGCTGGAAGGGTGGGATGATGATGATGATGCCCACGGGGTAGGCACCTGTAGACCCCAATTCCAGGGAGTTGGGGACATGAGATGGGGACAGGGGTGTCCCCAAGATCAAGGGACAGAAGGTGGAGGTGATGATGCCCATGGAGCTGGGGACACTTGGTGCCTGTAGACCCCGATTCCAGGGAGTTGGGGACATGAGATGGGGACAGTGGTGTCCCCAAGGTCAAGAGACACTGGAAGGGGGGGGACAGCGATGCCCCCACGACCCAGGGGATGCTGGATTGAGGAAGGACCTCCATCTTGGTGTCCCAGGTTGATGTCCACCACGGTTGGGGTTGGGTGGGAGTTGTTGGGGTGGTGGGTGGTGGCATTTGGGGCAACCCCTCTCACTCCCCCCTCTTTCTCCATGTGGTGGTGTCCCCCCCAACCCAACCCCAACTCCACCACCACCCAACCCAACCCCTTGAACCCAACTCAACCACCCAACCCAACCCCTTGAACCCAACTCAACCACCCAACCCAACCC